GGGATATTCAAAGAAGACAGAGATAAGGCAATTCTTTCTATGTGTTTTTAATGGGGAAGAAAAAGAGACAGCAAATGCTTACATCTGTTTCTCTCTCTGGCACTCAGTATTATACTCAAACATTGTGTTCTACTTCCAATTTCTTTTGGAGAAATATGAAAGGTCTCTGAAAAGATCCGAGCGCATTTAGTATTGTGCACATACCCTACACCAAATTGCAAGCTTGTACTGTTTTAGGTGTTTGAAAACTGCCTTGTCACATATAAACAAGGCAGAAGTGGCAAAGGGCAGAATAAACATCACCACAGGCCCTATGTGTCTGTGGCCAGTTTTGCTTCATCTCCCTGCACCAGTGAGGTCATTTGCAAAGCTTGTACTGCAGGGTGCTGTGAAAATGCTGGGCCACCTGAGGTAAGTGCTTTCAACCCTGATTCAGCTTCAGCTGTTTTGTTCTAGTCTGGATCTATGTTGGCCTTCAACTGACTATTTCCTCACAGCTTTTCCTGATTTCCACATAATGCTTTGTGACAAATTTTTGAGGGTGGAGGGAATATAGTCTGACATAGCTTTCCTATTCAAAACACTGGGAAAATTATTCCTTTTTTAATTTTCTAGTTTTTGGTTTTTGGTTTTTGTTGGTTTTGTTTTGGTTTTTTTTTTTTTTTTTTTTTTTTTTTTAAATTGTCATTAACACTGAGATGAGCACAAAGAGTTAGTGACTTCAGAGAGGAGCCCACCACGATGTTCTGGATGATCTTCTGTGAGACACGTTTCTTTGAACTACAGTGAGCAGCTGTGGCTAGTAAGAGAGAGATCATGAATGTAAAGGGGCAGATGATGTGCCACAGTGGAGCCAGAAACAGTTCTTTAAGAGGGTTCCTTAAGATGCATAGGTAAATTCCACAACAGCAGCTGCAGTAACTGCCCCACACAGTGTGAGTGGGCTAGGAGGTCCTTTCTGATGGATCAGAAGTAGGTCAAAAAAGGGCACAGAGGAAAAGTCATAGTTTCTCTCTCTTGCTCTCATACTGTAAAGCAATTTTACTTATGGTTATAGTTACTGCAATACGGGGTTTTTAAGAATTAATGGTTGAAGGTTATTTGCACTGAATTTCAGGGGTGGAAAGTCTGTGTTGGCAGGATTTGTGCTACCCTTCAGTAACACAGCGGGAAGTCTGTGTGAGAGATGGGACACAGCACTGTGCTCTGGAGTCTTCCAGCATTGCTCTGCTTCCATCTATGGATAAATAAAAATGCCTCTGTGTATGGTGTTTTGAGAGAGAAAACTCCAGTTCAATAAGGCAAATAGTCTTCGACTTCCTAATCTTGTGAGAAATGGAAATGCTCTTCTCTCTCCCTTCCTATTCATTAGTTCATCTACATCAGCTCCTATCATGTTTACCCATGAAAAGAATTGTTTCAGTAGGACTGCTATCTTTGTATCTTTCTCTATAAACACTTCAAGCCCCATTGTATAACTTACATGGAAGCAAATAAACTTTCAAATTAAACAGAAAACCTCAGGAGATCTTGCTGCCTGGACATAAATTGTGTAGTCAGGAGAAAAATAACCAAAATAAGAAGCTAAGGGCCATGCCTCATGCTAACAGAGACAGGTGTTTCCCTTGACTATTTTGAAATAAGGTCTCAGCCAAGCCCTCTTCACATGGCTTCAAGTGGAAATGTCTCTTATTGCTCAAGATGCTAAAAAACTGAGTAATTTACACACTTCTAAACCTACTCTGCACTTCCACCATTAATCATACATAATCCACAACAGTGTCACTCTCTTTGTGCACCACGTTGGAAGTATCTATGTATCATATATTCAAATTACATTGTGTGCTTGAGGGATCTCATGATCCCCAGAATACTTCTGTGGCAGCATGGTTTGCAAGCTCCACACACTACCTGCAAACATCTATTGTGTATGTGACTGAAAGCTTGAATCCCTGCCTGGGATTATCTGAAAACTCTGGAACTTGCCAGCAGGAAAATTTACAGCTAAACAATTATATTGTTGAAACTCTGACAAATCCACACCAGTTTATGACTTTGAAAATAGGGCTAGGTGTGAGCAACTGAATATATTATACACTGTAGTATGGCCTCCTGGGGGCTGCATTATAGAGTCTGTTTACTTTGACTGACACTTTTCATTTTTCTTTTCTTCCAGATGTTATTGCTGCAAATGATGTCTGCTCAATATGGATTTGCTCCTCAAAAAACTGTTTAGATATTTGGATAAACATCTTCTGAACAAGTTCTTTTATTATTATGTTGATGATTTTTGGAAGCAATCCAGCAATAATGCAACAGACAGCCAACGCAATGAGTAAAAACAAGCAGAACTGCATTATAGTGGTACATCAGACTACATGGAGGTGGGATTACCAGAAGTTCTCTCCAATGCAAAGTAGTTCTAAAAACTCCAAACCTGGACACAAAGGAGAGCAGATTGTTTTTCTACCCATCACTTTTCGGTAAACAGAACTTTAAATCCCCCCCAAATAAACTGATGACTTCTTGCCAAGGGTGAAATAAATCTCACTCAAGCACAGAATGGCATTCATTTTACTTAGACCCCCATAAGCAGGCAGAGACATTATTGCAAAGTAAAACTACTCAGAAAAAGGAAGATTTGTTGTTAAAGCCAATGACAGTGTTTCCAGATAGAATCAGCGCCGGATCATGCAGAGTGGCAGCACATTTTTCTTCCTGCTATGTTGGTACCAGAAACTGGAAATTCACTGCAATTTTCCAGTTCCTTTAGAAATTCCAAGATCTCTGACACCGAATGCCAGAACAGATGGCAATAACTGGTGACCTTGTTGTACACAGGTACATGAGCCGGAAGAGTGGTGGGTTTTTTTCTAGTTCTACAAGAGAAAAAGTAGAAGAGAAAAATTTCTTTCCAAGATCATTCCCTGATTGACAAATAAATCATTCTTCATCTCACTCAGGAAGGGCTGAAGAGCACCTTTTATATAAAGAGATGGCTGAGAAGTAGCAGTTTTTTCAATGTGGGCTTGAGTTATAAAACACAAAGTATACCTTTTAAGTATAATGTTATGAACAGAAAAAGTATATTTTGGTCTGATGCATGAATCTTTTATCTACCTTACTCCTGCCATTTGTATTTCCTGCCAACTGGGAATATCCCAAATGGTCTCTGCTTCTCTTTGTTGTTTTATAAATTCCTTTTGTACAGCAGCCAATGCTAACATTTCTTTCTGAGTGCAAAAGTTGCTTATGGTTTTGATGTACCTGTGCTGTACAGTACTTGCCAAGTACTTGGGGTGGACAATGTGCTTTCCGAATTCATCAAGAAGAAAATTTGACCTTGCTCACCTTGAGGAGGGAGAATTTCTACGTGGAGTTCTTGCAGGACATGACGTATGCAGAAGAGCTGCTGAAGCAGAGGCCAAAAAACCCTCAAAATAGACTTCAATTTCTCTAGCGCCTTCATGACTACCAGTAATGGCCCTTGCTCTGAAGTTCATGGGGAAATATGAATGCTGCATAGGGGCCTGGACTCCATCTAGAAACTGAAAAACCTGCCTTGGTTGTTTCAGAAGATACTTAGAGTGGATCTCAGAGAAGCTCAGTTCCACTTGCTTGCTGTGCTCTAGTGTAGCTCGTGGTCTGCTATGGAAAGCAAGGATGACATAGGCTCTCGTTCCCAATGTGGAGGCTTCCTCTGTCTGAATACTAGAGTGTTCTCAGATCTGAGATGATGTAGCCATAGGGCTGAGGACACTGTTCTCTGAACTAAGAGGTTTTTTTGTCCTGCATTGTTACGCCCCTGTGGAGTTTTTCCCATTATCGGGGAATCCCAAGAAATCAAATGAAGGTAGCACTGGTACAAATCCAGTGCATGTAAAAGCTCACATTTCTCTATTTCCCTGAATTTATGCTGTTTATTTATGTTTTGTGGTGTAAATGGGAATAGAGGTCTAGGCAATAGCTAGCATCTTGTAAATAAAATTGTGTAAATGTGTTATGCAGTCATCACATTTGCACATATATTAGAGATCATCAAAACCTAGAAGGAGAGAACAAGGGACAAGTCACTCTTTTCTTGCAGTGTCTTCAACATATTTACTGCTGCATGAGAATTTTCAAGGCTGGCCATGCATTCAGAGTTGTTCCTACCCATGATCAGTTTGTGTTAAATCTGGCTGACATTTTGCTGAGGACTGAAAAGAAAAAGACACGAAGCAGTTCTTGTGGCAGAAGTGGCTTCCATTTTTGGCTTAAAGATTGACCAAATTAAAGCACAGGCTCTGCAGTAAAGAACTGTTTCAACTGAAAATATTCTACTGTCTTGACAAGTGCTCTGCACTCCGACATTATAAGCATAACAGATAATTTACTTCATTCTGCAAAGAAGGGTAAAGTTTTAGGGTAACTGAGTAAACTTATCTGCTGAAGAGAAGTATATAGTTTGTTGGATGACCATGACAGTAATTAGGGGTTTCCCTGAAATTTTCAGTTTGGGGAAAAATGAGGATACAGAGCTGAAAAAGGAGACAAGCAGCCCCAGTTATTCCCAACTTGCAACCACCTCAGACTCCGTACCATTTTTCCTTTTTGCAACTTCAAGCACTACAAAGATGGAAGATGGAAGTAGAGACTGTATCTAATTATCAATTATCTTGCCTCCACTTCCCAGAACCCATGGAAGTTCAAGCTCCCTGACTGAGTGGACTCAAAAGGGGCTCAGTCGTTACTGTCAGATGGTTTTGTATTTTGTGTATGTAATTTGTGGCAACAGCTAGCAGTAGACATGGTGTGGTGATTTGCTGAGTGTCTATGAATAGTGTCTTACCTTCAATGTAGTACTGGGCAAGAGGCTATGGAGAATCTACTAAGACCTAGACAGTATTTAAAACCTGCCATTCAATCCAGAAAGCTGCTTCTCACTTTGACATACCATGTCAGCTCCTTAAATCAAACTCCTCGTACTCAGGAATGAAGTAAATAAATTATAAGCTTTATTGATTATGTCTACTGTGTGCATGTTCTTTAGCATTGACTAAGCCATTCAAATCATTGTCCCAGCATGGATCAGGCTTCCCCTAAAATCTGAAATGGCTACTCAAGAGGGAGCAGAAATGTTTTCTTTCGTTGATCCAAGATTCTGTCAGGGAGGGTTTTGATCTCTACAACTTTACAGCATCCATATGGTCAGGAATGAATTAGTTGGCTCCTTTCAGTGGGATATGGGATCAGAGTCTTAGATTGGACAGAAGCCCACTGTGATATACTCATTTTTTTTAATGAGTATTAGTACATTTCTCAAAATTTTTGGAACCATGCCCCCAGTTCGTCTCTTACTTGGTCTGTTATTCCATTTCTATGACTTTGTTGACTTCAACTAAATAACTGGTATAAACACATCTCAGACTTCTCTTCCAGCTAATGGAAATAGTGCTAGTTAGGGGTTATTTTGGGGGAAGGGATTGTTTTAGCTTCTGCTCTAAAACAAGGAGGAGTGGTAAATCACAGGCATCTTTCTTGGGATAGAGACAATAAATCACTCTTCCCAGGTGAAATCTTTTATTTATGCCTTAGGATTCCATTTCATTGAGGAAAGGTATGTTCTTTCAGCTTCAGCCAGGCTGCACTTTAGCAAGTGATTCAAATCAAGCTGACACTTATTAGTGAGCACGCTGAACACTTTGCTCTCAGGCACTTCACTGGGCAGCCACCATTCTCCATTCTTCACAGATGTTTGTTCTCTGTAGGTTTCATCTGAAAGCAAAATCACTGCCTGCTCCTCATGTCAGTGGGAGGTCAGCTGCAGAGAACAGTTTGTTGTTTTTTACTGGTGGGAGTGATCCATTGTGTCTAAAATCAAAGAACAAAAAAAAACCCCAACAAATAGAAGGGGAGATAGAATAAAAGACTCGTAGATCAGCTTGAGCTCATTCTTCTGGTCTGAAAGTGACCAAGCAAGCCTCCTATTATCATTTATTACTTGTTGAGCTTGTCACCTCACTCAGTGTTGGACCATACACATTCAAGAGCAGTGGCTCCAAAGACAGTGTCAGTAGTATCATACAGATGGCAAACTATTTAATTGCAAGGAAAGAACTGTTATTGCAAGCTCATGTTTATTTGAAAAAAAAAAAAGAAAATCAAACCCAAATCTTGAACAAAACAAAAAAAAATTATGGAAATAAGTAGTTCTAGATGCTTTCCTTTCTCCAGCAATACTCTAAAGTTAATCTCTACACAACCATGCTTGTGTTTTCTTTGCAGTGCATGCACCTATGTATCACCCCAAGAAAGCATGCAAGGTAACGTAAGAGCCTGCAATAAAGTCCTACTGCCAGGGACTAGGGAATCCATGGCAGTTCACTTAGATAGCCTCTTGGTTAAATACAGGTTTAATTGTGTCTGCAAAGAGGTAAAACATCTTAACTCACAAGAGTAGAGATAAGTATGATGTACTTGAGACAGATAAAAAAAGAGGCAGGAGACCTAGAGTGCTGGTAAACTTCAGAAGACATCTGGATCATCTGCCCAGGCTGGCATTTCTGGTGATGTGAAGCATCTCTGTGTGCAGGCTATGGTCACAAGAGAGGTGTGGTTGCTGTCAGGAATAATAACCTGCATGTGTCCAAGTGACCCTGTGAGATGTGTGGGAACTCCGAGCTATTCTGTCGAAGGCAGGAGTGTGTGATTATCCAAGCTGATACAGTAGCACTGAGCATTTCTTCCTGCTTGCTTTGTAACCTAGCATAAACAGTGGAATGCAACTGCAGAAAAATGCAGGCTACCTGTTACAAAGACCTGACTATTTTGTAAATTCACTTCACCACATGGTCATCACTGGGCCCTTCCTGCAAAAGTAAAGAAGGCAGCTTGCTGTTTCTTTAATGAGATCTTTGGCATCACTGTTGTAAATGGAATGCTTGTAGTAAGGAAAAAATCACTACTTGTAGCATGAGTTAGTGTGTGCTGCAGTTTGAAGGCTCAGGTCATATTTATACACGAAGAGTCACTATGGAAAAATGAATGACCTGCAAAGGTGACCCTGCCATTTAAGCAGTTGTGCATGGCTAATAAACAATGGAGGAAAAAAATCTGCTTTTTTAAAAAAAGGTTCTTTTAATTTTTTTAAGTTAGCATTATAATAATTAAAAAAAAAAAAAAAAAGAGAACAAACTGCAAAGGCAGGGATAGCATCAATGTGTTTCTTCCTTTCCTTAAACATTTTACAGTATTTCAACATATCCAATATCTGTCTAATAGGCCAAGTATTTTAGGACATCAGTGTATCTACAAAGTTTGTATAAAACTGTAGCTACCAAACCTTTCAGAATAAACTGTTCCTATCCTTTAGTAAGGGAGACAAAACAGAAAGGGTATGTTGCAACAGGGAAAGAGCAGGTTCCTGTGGGAAGGTGAAAATCACAAGCTCTTTCCCCAGCAAAGTCACAGGTGAGCTAGCTGGCTGCATGTGCAGTGAAGTGAACCTTGGGTTCATGGGAATCTTCTTAATTAATAGGAAACTGAGCAATAGGGAATGCACTGTGGACATAGCTGCAAACTGATCTGGGCACCTGCTAGGAATGGAGGAAAATAACTGACCAGTTCTCGTGGACTTCTCTGACATGCTTCTAGATACAGCCTTAGGGAAAATGGGATAGTCAATAGCTTTTAGGAATGGCAGATGATTACCTGCATGGGCTAATATGAGCCAGAATGGCTGTGTCAAAAAATGTCCAGGTTCATTCTTTGCAATAAATTACTCTACTGCTTACATGGAGGAAGTTTCTTTTTCTATATAACATCATGATGATCATGAGAGGCCCTCTACCACTTTCCCAATTCTATAACAATACATAGACTTATTTACCAGTGGCTCTTTAGTCTAATCTTTGTTATCTTAACATTGATGACACTCTGTTGAAATCAGTGATGATATAGCAACAGAATAGGCTGTATACAAAGCTGTGTAAAATATTGTGAGTGGGAATCTATCAACTAGAAAAGAAAGTGCATGTTGTTATGGTTGCACTGCTAAGAGGTTGGTTCCTTTAAATCTTGACATTTGCGGGTTTTTTCATGCATTACCATTAATAGCAATGGTTGTCTATATGATTGTATTGATAGCAATTTTATTTGAGAAGGAATTTTACTACCAAATATAAATATAGCATGTGTTCATTTTTTTTAATTATGTGTAACATTCAGTAAAGTGATACATTATCAAGAAAGGTCATTGATTGTTCCCAGGATATGGCAGCAAAATATATTGTATGTACTAAAATTGCAACTAGTTTTAGAGCAGCGTAGTGTGGAATAATGCAAAACAAAAAAGGTGTCAAAGTTAACAATAAATCTACGAATAGAAAAAAGAGTGAAAATTATGCCTTTTTATCTGATGATAACTTGACTAGATTCAGAATTAGAAATGCAAGCAGCTTTTATGAAATTGTACTTGTTCTTGGTAAGATAAGAACAGTTTGGTAGCCTGCAAGACATTTTTTTGGGTTCTCATGACTTGATGAGAAACACCAACACTAAGATTATGAACCTAAAAAATTTAGTGAGTGCCAGCTCCAGTGAAAAATCCTTGCTTCTAAACAGACTGGATTGTTTTGGCAATACAATATTAAGTCTTTGAGATCCTGCCAAAATAGTAGAAACCTGTCTGCTTCAAAAATACATCTCTCAATATTTCTCCATCCTCCATGTCACATTAAGGTCCTGATACTGTAACCCAAGTTTCAACAGGAGGTTGCACCCATGCAGCAGCATGTGTGACCACCATCTTGAATTTGATGGGGTGAATTTTTAAGGTGAGATCACAATTAAAGCATACATGATCTCAAAGTATTTCATACGTCTTCATAAATAGATTTGATGGCTCTAAAATGCTTTTCAAATATTTCAAATAATTTCCTAGCTAATAGATGCTGAAAAGCTTTAAAAAGCCCTCTCCAGATTAGTGAGCATTTCATGAAAACAAAAAGAAACATTCTCTTGTATTTCCTTTTTCACTTGCACTTTTATTTTATATAATAGTTGAATGACGTTTTTTGGTAAAAATAAGGCAGATCACGGTATAAATAGCATGTTTCATTGCTTAGGGTTTTTTTGTTCTTGAGCTGATGAGATCCTTGCCCCAGCTCGCAGCATTTCCTTACATGTGCAATGAGTATTTGGAAATGTACCTTTTGCTCTTTAACATGACCAAGCAGCTGGAAGCAAGGTATTAAAGCAGTTCCGTGTGATCAGCATATTATTTGTGGAGTGTATGGATAACACCTGCCAACATGCACTGAAAAAAAATGCACTGCAAAGAGCAGCAGAAGGCCATAGCAGAGGCTACAAAGTATCCCACAATGCAAGAACAAAAGCAGAATCTTTGAAAAAGATTGTAAGGAAAGGAGAAAGTAAATTGTCTATTTAACCTTTCCCTTAGTAAAAAAAAAAAGAAGCTGAAAAATGAGACAGTGATGAAACAAACTTTTTATATGGTAGAAGTTCTGATGTCACTACTGTATTTGTAACTTACTTTTTAATGATTGCTGTTATTTGTTCTTGTTGGGTTTGTTTCTTTTTCTTAGATATTAAAGTTTGAAATAATCCTTTCCAAAGTACATGTAAGGTTATCCAATGCCTTGGCCACTGTAGTGTATCACTGAGATTAGGAGCATAACGAGCTCTATCAAAGCATCAGACAGCACAGAGATAATGACAAGATCTATCATTATTAGGCAAGAAAAACAAATGTGTCTTATAAACCCTAAAGCTCTAGAGCAAAAACCACTCACTAATTGAGTGGAGGGTCTAGGAGGAAGCTTCTCTAGGGGTCAGTTTATTCTAGGTTAGTCTGTTACACCATTATTGCACCTTGCTCTGAAGCACAAGTACTCAGTGAAGTTAGTGTAGGATGATATGGCAGATACCTCCCCACCATAATCAGTGTTCCCTCTTAATGCACCCTCATTCAGCAGCTCTATTGGCTCCTACAGTTGCTTTAATGAATTCTGGCCTCACACTGAAAAAAATCTCTTTCCTCTCTCTAATGCTAATTGGTTTATTCCTCCCTACTCTCTCATCTTCTTCATAAGAAATGCCTTATCCCTGGAAATCATTCATGTATTTATGTGAAGCAAATATTTTGCCATTGTAATTGATTGGATTGCATGAAACAGTAGTTGCTTTGTGACAAATTAGCAGAGGGACAGCATTTTTGTTTTTCTTTTGAAGCCTACTGTATTGTGCCCTCACAATGGCATTCCTTGAGAACATTAGAAATCTCTTATGTGAAGAAATGAACAAATATGGTCTGTAAATTCATCATCCTCTCTCAGCTTGTGAGGTTTGAACTGAAGGGGCTCATCATAACTTAGAGGCAAATCCTAACTAAGAAGACTGTTGGTGGAGTTTCAGGGGTGATGAAGGAACCTTTTAAAAAATGCTGACATACACCTGACTTGTTCTTTCAGTTCAGCCTCCCTCTCATCCTGGTGAGGGTAGCCAAAGAGGAATTGAAGACTTTTCTTTTAGTTTTAGATCAGTGATTGATAGATGAATACGACAGGTTGCAGGAGTGGAACATCTGACTTGTCTTTCAGATTTGTAATCAGATCTTATAATCACATGGCTACTTGACTCTGTCAATAGCACCTGCCCACAGGTGAGATCTGCAGACATACAAGGGTCCAAACTGCAGTTCTCAAGAACCTTAACTTTGCCTATACTGCACACAAAGAGGAAATCCTTCCAGTATCCTTGAAAAGTCCTGCTCTTTGTTCTCCCTAGAGTGCCTTGCCACCCCAGGGGACTGACTGACAGTAAAAGGAGCAAGATATCCCAGGCAAGGGATATCTTGTGAGAGGTAATCCTCTCACACTAGAGAGTAGTGTTGCTGCATTCTGTGGTCTGGGTTCCAGGAAGGGAAACCTTCCTGAATTAGCCTGGGGTACTGTGTGGCAGTCTGCTAAGCAAGCAGCAGAGATGCTGGGCCCCTGGAAGTCCTAACTGTCCTCTGTGCCAAGTTCTCTGGCTCTCCACACCTTGCTGGCATCACTGACAGATCCTTTCTTTCCCCACTGTGTGGTGACCAGTGTAACCTGTAGAACAGTATGCTACCTTCTCAGCTCTGTGTCAGCAGCTGACACCAGTCTTCCAAATGATGTCATACTCAGTTTTGAAAAGGGTATTCTTGATGCTCTCTATGCTCTTGATCAGCATAAAGAGTTCAGAGACCATCTTAAGCTAAACCTGCCTCCCTTCCCACTGAAAACTCTCCTCATGACCAGTCTGGAGGTTGTAACTCCTTCCCTTCTTAAACTTATGTCTTCACCCAAGACCATGCCCACCATTTTTCTTTCTTCAGAATCTGACTCAGAGGCATCTTCCTCCTTGGGTGGTCTTCCCCGTACAGCCCCAAATTCCCACCCCACTGTATATATAACATAACACTACAAAGTGCTGTTTGCCTCTGTGGGTCATGATAAAAAACCAGACAAGAGGGAGCACTGGACCTTGTGACCTTTCCAGGGAGCATCATGTAGAAAGCAGAGATATATGTAAAACCAAGGTGCAAAGCCACTTTATCAATGTCCAGTACCCATATCCTTTCTGTGTTCAAGTGCGTACATATGGCAGTGGTGTCACAGACTTTTGACGAGGCTAAGCCCTGAAAGGTGACTCACAGTTAATGGCATCCCAGAATTGTCTGCTCAGAAAAAAAGACAAAAGAAAACATATACATACAGGTCAGTCCTTATTAAGGTCAGCCAAGATTAGGCATGATTCTTACAAAGATAACCCCTGCCCCCACCTGCCCCAACTTTGATGGATCCAGCTGGAGTGCCTCAGAGTTCATGCAGTATAAATGCAGATAAACTATAGGCTGAAGCATACTACGGGGAATGTAAACTTCTGCAAAGTCTTGACCACTGCAAATACCTGAGAAACATAGAAAGTGAGCAAACAAAAAGAAGAGAGAAATGTCAGACCACGAATACAGGCTCTGGGCTGTCTCTCTGTGATTTTTTTTTTTTTTTAAATACAAAGTCCCCTATGACCATTTCTTTAAGGACATAAAAAGGGCACCTTACTATGTTGGTGGCAAAAGAGGAGGGAAGGATCCCACCTTCCAAAGAGCATGGAGACTTCTAAGGGATCCTGATGCCCGCCAACCTTGCCTGCCTATGTCCACATCTGTTGTCTGGGTGATTTCAGTCCTCTGGATGCTTGGGCCACTGGGCACTAAGGGCTTGGATGAACAAAGTCATCTGATGAGCAGACTGTTGCATTTCTGCTGTTTGATTTCTCCTGCCAGGAGCCTGGTGAAGCTAAATCTCTCATCCCAAATACTTTACTGCTCTTCCTGGAGTCATCTTCAAAGCTGGTGAAGTGTTATTTTTCTCCTTTATCAAGTTTGTCAACCTTGCCTAGACACTCATGGGTGATGATGCCAGGAACATGCACTCCTAAAATACGATTGCATTTCAACCTAGAACAGTTGTTCCCATCTTTGACAGCAATAAATGCATGAATAAACTCTTATCTTAGCACCTCGCTGATCTCCAACTCACTGGTGCCCATGAACTTACAATAGGATTATCTTGGACAACTTTTCAAAAATTTGTGAAACTTCTGCCACTAATGTATGAAAAATAGAGCATAGGAGTTTTCCCCGATCCCTTCACAAATATCCCTTCGACAATAGCTAGCTTGAGCAAGCTGTGATGATAATGTGGTTCTCGGCAAAATATTGCTTCCACAGTTAGTTGTTCTGAGTGTTCACGGAATTTTATTTCTAGAGCCCTGATAGTCAAGTCTGACACATATGCTGTGAAATTAAAGCTGAGGAAAAAATGGCAATTCACAAGCTGTTCCCTTGTAGCAACTGTAAACTCTACAGAAAGCCAGATAAAAGAGAGCAAGAGTAAGGACAGACAGGAGACTTGGCTTTCATCAGTGGCTTTGACTTGCAGCCTCCAAATATAGAATCATAGAATCAGCTGGATTGGAAAAGACCTCTGAGATTATCAAGTCCAACCCTTGATCCAACACCACCATGGTTACTAGACAATGGCACTAAGTGCCACATCCAGTCTCATCTTAAAAACCTTCAGGGACAGAGAACCCACCACCTCCCTGGGCAGCCCATTCCAGTGCCTGATTACCGTCTCTGTAAAGAATTTCTTCCTAATGTCCAACCTAAACCTCCCCTGGCAGAGCTTAAGACCATGCCCTCTTGTCTTACTGATAGTTGCCTGGGAGAAGAGACCAACCCTCACCTGGCTACAACCTCCTTTCAGGGAGTTGTAGAGAGTGATGAGGTCTCCCCTGAGCCTCTTCTCCAGGCTGAAAAACCCCAGCTCCCTCAGTCTCTCCTCATAGGACTTGTGCTCCAGTCCCTTCACCGGCTTTGTTGCTCTTCTCTGGACCTGCTCCAGCACCTCAATGTCCTTCCTGAACTGAGGGGCCTAGAACAGGACACAGTACTCCAGGTATGGCCTCACCAGCACTGAGTACAGGGGAGGAATCACTTCCCTGGTCCTGTTGGCCACACTGTTCCTGATCCAGGCCAGGATGCCATTGGCCTTCCTGGTCACCTGGGCACACTGCTGGCTCATGTTCAGCTTCTTGTCAATCCAAACTCCCAGGTCCCTCTCTGTCTGGCTCCTCTCCAGCCACTCTGTCCCCAGCCTGTAGTGCTGCATGGGCTTGTTGTGGCCAAAGTGCAGGACCCTGCACTGGGCCTTCTTGAACCTCATCCTATTGGAATCATGCCATCTCTCCAGTCTGTCCAGGTCCCTCCGCAGAGCTCTCCTGCCTTCCAGCAGATCAACACTCCCCCCCAGCTTGGTGTCATCTGCAAATTTGCTAACGGTGTACTCAGTCCCCTCATCTAAATCATCAGTAAAGATATTAAACAGAACTGGGCCCAACACTGATCCCTGGGGGACACCACTGGTGACCGGCCGCCAACTGGATGCAGCACTGTTCACCACCACTCTCTGGGCCCGGCCCTCCAGCCAGTTCCTAACCCAGCACAGAGTGCCCCTGTCCAAGCCGTGGGCTGCCAGCTTTTCCAGGAGAATGCTGTGGAAGATGGTGTCAAAGGCTTTGCTGAAGTCCAGATAGACCACATCCACAGCCTTCCCCTCATCCACCAGGCAGGTTGCCTGATCATAAAAGGAGATCAGGTTGGTCAGACAGAACCTGCCCTTCCTAAGTCCATGCTGGCTGGGTCTGATCCCTTGTCCATCCTGTAGGTGTTGTGTGATTGCACTTAGGATGATCTGCTACATAACCTTGCCAGGCACTGAGGTCAGGCTGACAGGCTTGTAGTTTCCTGGGTCCTCCTTCTGGCCCTTTTTGTGGATTGGTGTGACATTCACCAACTTTCAATCATCTGGGACCTCCCCAGTGAGCCAGGACTGCTGGTAAATGATGGAGAGCGGCTTGGCGAGCTCTTCCACCAGCTACCTCATCACTCTAGGATGGATCCCATCTGGTCCCGTAGACTTGTGAGGATCCAAGTGGCTCAGCAGGTCGCAAACTGTTTCCTCCTGGATTACAGGGGGGGTATTCAGCTTCTTATCTCTGTCTACAAGCTCCAGAAGCAAATTGTCCTGAGGACAACCTGTCTTACTGTTGAAAACTGAGGCAAAGAAGGTGTTAAGTACCTCAGCCTTTTCCTCATCTTTGATAACTATGTTCCTCCCCATGTCCAATAAAGAATGGAGGTTTTCCTTGCCCTTCCTTTTGCTATTGATGTATCTGTAGAAAGACTTTTTGTTATCCTTAACAGAAGTGACAAGACTGAGTTCAAATCGTGCCTTTTTCTCTCTAATTTTCTTTCTACATGACCTAACTATATTCCTAAACTCTTCATGAGTAGCCAGCCCTTTTTTTCCATAGTCAGTAAGCTCTTTTTTTCACCCTAATTTCCTTCAAAATCTCCCTGTTCAGCCAGGCCAGTCGTCTTCCCCACTCACTTGCCTTTTGGCACATTGGGACGGCCTGCTCTTGTGCGTTCAAGACTTGCTTCTTGAAGCATGTCCATCCCTTCTGGACCCCTTTGTTTTCAAGGGTTGTTTCCCAGGGTATGCTCTGAACCAGTCTTCTGAATAGGCCAAAATCTACCCTGTGAAAGTCCAGCGTAGAGGTTTTATTGATGGCCTTCCTTGCATCCCTGAGTATTGAAAACTCTACTACCTCATGGTCATGAAAGGCCCCAGACGGCCTCTGACCACCACATCTCCCACCAGCCCCTCTTGTTTGTGAACAGCAGGTCTAGCAGGGCTCCACCCCTGGTAGGCTCATTTACCAGCTGGAGCAGAAAATTATCCTCTATACACTCTAGGAATCTTCTGGACTGCCTCTTCTCTGCTGTGTTGAGTTTCCAGCAGACATCCAGAAGGTTAAAGTCACCCACAAGAACAAGGGCTGGTGATTTTGAGACATCCGCCAGCTGCTTGTAAAATAAATCATCACCCTTGTCATCCTGGTTGGGTGGTCTGTAACAGACTCCCACCAGGATATCAGTCTTGTTGGCCTTCCCCCTGATTCTGATCCACAGACACTCAGCCTTACCATTACCGACCTCAAGTTCTACAGTCAAGAGACTCTCTAACATACAGAGCCACCCCTCCACCTCTCCTACCCTGCCTGTCCCTTCTGAAGAGCTCATAGCCACCCATGGCAGCACTCCAGTCATGCGAGTCATCCTACCACGATTCCGTGATGGTGACTACAGCACAGCTTTCCTGCTGCACGATGGCTTCCAGCTCCTCTTGTCTGTTACCCACGCTGTGTGCATTGTTGTACATGCACTTCAGCTGGGCTGCTGATTTCACTTCTAACTCTGGCTTTCCACCCTTAGGGTCATCTCTGGAGAGTCCAGTTTCAATTCCCTCCCCCTTCAAACCTAGTTTAAAGCCCTTCCGACAACTTAGGGCTAGAGTCCTTTTGCCCTTGCTAGATAGATGAAGCCCATCTGATTTGAGGAGACTAGGTAGCATAAATTTGCCCCATAGTCAAAAAACCCAAAATTCTGCTGGTGGCACTAATCCTTTAGCCACCTATTGATAAGATGGGTTTTCCTACTCCTCTCCTCATTCATCCCTGCTACTGCAGGAACTGAGGCGAACAGCACGTGCTCCTGTCCCATTAACTAACTGATCTAGCATCTTGAAATCCTTTTTAATTGCCCTTCTTCCATTTGTACTTCCATTGCCATTCTTCCAGTTGTACTTCTTCCATTAATGTCATCACTGCCAGCCTGTACTACCAACAGTGGATAATAATCAGAGGGCTGAATTAGCTTAGAGAGTCTCCTCCTAATATCCCTCACCCAGGCCCCAGGAAGGCCGCAGACTTTCCTGTGGGATGGGTCTGGTTGATATATAGGGCCCTCAGTTCCTCTCAGAAGGGAGTAACCTACTACAACTACCCTTCTTTTTCTTTTTTTTTAATAGCTGTAGTTGTAATCTGTGTGGTAGACAGGGTACAACCAGGAGACCCTCCAGACAGATCCTCTTCTTGACTGCCCTCTGCCTGACTCTGTTCTTTAAGAGCACCCAGGGAGGTGATGGGGGTCAGCAGGGGATTCTTTTACCTCTCCGGTCAGGGACCTGTTTCCACTACTCCCCATCTACTCGGTTTGCTCCATCTGCCTGATGGCAGAAGGGGCAGGGCTTCACCGTCTCCTGTTGGACTTCTTTTGGGGTCGAAAGGGTGCGACTCCACCAGCCAATTTTCTTTCACTCTCCCTAATGCTTCTTAGCCTCTCTACCTCTTCTTCCTTGAGCTCTGCCACCAGGCACAGTAAATCATTCACCTGCTCGCATCGTACTCAGGCGTCTCTCACACTGTCCTGTTGTACTAACGCCAGGCTCAGACACTCTGTGCAGTCAGTGACCTGAAGACCTGTGTCCTTCTTGGTGTCC